TTCGATTCCTGTCAGGGGCACATGCCCGGGTTGCGGGCTCAATCCCCAGTAGGGAGTGTGCAAGCGGCATCTCTCTCATCATTGATGTTTCTCTCTCTCGTCCCTTCCTCTCTGAAATCAATAAAAATATATTTAAAAAGGTAAAAGGGGACATTCATTCCTTTAAAAAAAAAACCCTTGTGGGCGGAGAAGCGCGGTGCATGCATGAATCCTAGGGTCCTGATCACTCAGCTGGGGAAGGAGGTACAGATCCTGGGGGCCCAAGTCGCTCACTGGGAGGGGCTCTCTAGGAGAGAAACTGGCAGAGGTATCAGTGGGCACCCGCAGGGCGCAGGGCGCAGGGCGACCAAAGTTGGGTTGGCTGGCTTCCAGGCGCTGGTGAGCACTGGCTGGTGGGGTTAGGGGCGTGGCCTCGAGGGGCAAGGCTGTCTATTGAGAAGTGCTTTTGTTTTAATCCTCACCCGAGGGTATTTCTTCCATTTTTAGACAGAGTGGAAGGGGGTGAGAAGTGGAGAGGGAGAAAGAGAGAGAGAGAGAGAGAGCGCGCGCGATAAACATCTCGCCTACCACTCGCGCCCCATCGGGGCGGGACCGAACCAGCAATGCCTTGACAGGGAATCGAACCCGCGACCCTTTGGTCAGCGGGCGGACGCTCTAACCACTGAACCACCGGCCAGGGCGAGAAGTTTTTCTCTCCATCTCCTGTCCTCCATGAACATCCTGCCCTTTCTCCCAACCTCGCAATCTCCCTACCACCTTTCAGGAGCTACTCTCTCCTCCAGCTCCTAGTCCCAGGCTCCATTTTTGCCATCCTCCCCTCGCCCCCCAACTCCAAGCCCCCAGGACGCGAACATCAGCGACGCAGACTGGCCTAGCGGCTCGGAGCCAGCCCCCGGCCATTCCCTCAGGTGAGCTGCTCCTCTACCTGCTCCCTTGCTCCTCTACCCATCACACCTGGACCGGGCAGGTGCTCCATGACCCTTTCTTCCCGCCCTGCTCCCAGACACCGAGGGGCCCGGGCAGTTCTCCACCTGCGGGGCCAGGGGGGCAGGACCCGGACCTGCAGAGAAGGCGTGGAGGTGGATGGTCACCGTGAGCCCGGGTTTTACCCTCCGGGAGGAAGGCCACTTGCGCGCAGGGTGTTCTGCAGCGACGGGGGCCCCGCGACCTGACCGCCCCTCTTTCGGCGGAACTGGGGGCGGGGGGCAGCCGTCGCCAGGGCCACAGGCTGGGAGGAGGAGCAGGATACTGAGTGTGGGCAGATCAGTGGCTGTAGTGGCAGCTTCTACACTGAGCCTCCTTATGTGTGTGGGTCCTGATTCTGGGTACAGATCATTCAGCAAGCATGGCTGATTCAAGGTTGCCCACCTCTCCACTGAGCTGTGTGGGTTCTCAGGGGCAGACATGGCTGATTTCAAGACCCCCTACTCCCAGCAGAGCAATGGTGAACTCCTCTGGGGTTCTAAGGATAGAAGCAGCTGGGGAGGCTCAGGGGAAAACATTTGCCTTAATGGGCATCTGTGGAGGTGCCCTGGGCAGGAAGAGGCAAAGCAGGGTGGGGCTGCTGGGCAGGTAGAATGTGTCCTTGTTCCTCCCACCCTCGGTGAACCATAGAAGTGGCAGGTCTTTGGGGGACAGGATTGCCAGGCCCTAGGCTCCAGCTGAGCAAGCTTCAACCCTCCACCATCAGGACAGCCCCTAACCCTTACTGCTGCCAGATGGGGCTTGGCCCAACCCAGTCCTGGCCTCTGCCCCAGGGCATAGAGAGAGATTTCTCCAAATAATGTCACTCTGCTCAGGTGAGTCCTCCCCCTCCTTCTGAGACCCTATGCACTCCGAATCCCCCCTCCCCCACTCCCTGGTGAATTATAGATCCCAGAGAGCAGCTGTTGGCCCAAAGACCTTGTGTAGAGGAGATAGAAGCCAGAGAAGCTCCAAAATAAAAAATAACTTGTCCAGGGTCAGATGTCATCCCTAATTTCTGGGATGGTAGGAACCCTAGGATGTGATTCCTTTGGAGCAAGGATTGCCTCCACCTCAGGGTGTCAGCAAAGACCTAAGGGTAGACCTCATATAGACCCCCTCCCACTCAGACCCCATACCTGCCTTCTCTTCTGCCCTGGCTCTGTGCCAGTCAACATTGCCTCTGGAGGGCTTACACCTGGAAACATGCCATGCTGTAGAGAAAGCCCAGGCCCTCCAGGCCAGCTGGGCAAAGGAGCGGGGAGAGGGAGATAAAGGGACACAAGACTCTCTAGAACACTTCCTCGGGCTCAGCTACCCACTCCCTTCTAACCCTTCTCACACAGAGCCCTGGGCCATTGTGCCTTTGGAGAGGTCTATGAGGGACTGGTTATGGCCTTCTTGGGGACCCCAGCCCTCTGCAGGTGGCTATCAAGGTGAGAGGGGGTGGGGCTTCTGGCTGGGGCCAGGAGAGCAGGGTTCCAAGGAGAGAGAAGCAATTGCTGATGCTAGGGTCAACCCACCCTCCTGGTGTCTGGGGACCTCAGGAGCTCAGTGCCCTTATCCTCCCCAGAATGCCCGAACTCTGCTCTCAGGACGAGCGGGATTTCCTCATGGCGGCGCACCTGGGGCCACAGGTCATGTGGCAGTTGTGGGGAAGGCACTCAGCATCTGCAGGAGTCGCCTCTCTTCACCAAGGGGCTAAGAGGTAGCAAGTCTAGGGACACCGAGGTCACCTGCAGTTTTGTGGAGCCTAAAGCGTGGTTTCTCTCCCTGCTGGTGATGGGATGTGTGTACCACCAGCCCAGCAAGTTCAGCCATCAGAACATTGTGCACTGTGTGGAGCTTAGCTTCCAGGCTGGCCCTCACCTAATTCTGCTGGAGTTGATGTCTGGAGGGGACATGAAATTTCCTGAGGCGCAGCCCGCCACACCTGCTAAGATCCTTCTCCCAGCCCCCCTGCCCAGGTGCCTCTAAAGACCCTGTCCATGTGTGCCAAAACCTTCATGGGAAAATGCACCCTCTCTCCTACCCAGGCCCAGCCATCACCTCTGGCCATGCAGGACCTGCTCCAGCTGGCCCAGGACATAGCCCAGGGCTGCCACTACCTGAGGAAAATCTTCCTCTGGGGGCATCCACTTGACTGGCAGGTCAGGAGTCATTCTGGTTCATGGGATGCCTTAGCCCCCTCCCCCAAGAAAGAGACCTTCCACATAACTTTAATGAAAGTAGATCAGAGCAAGAGATTCTGAGTTCTGGCAGTCCTCCCAACTCTGTAGGGACATTGCTGCCAGGAACTGTCTGCTGAGCTGCAGTGGACCCAGCTGAGTGGCCAAGATGGGGGACTTCTGGATGGCTAGAGTTATCTACAAGTGTGGGGCCTGGGGAGGTGGGGAAGGTGCAGCTTCAAGGGAGTTTCCCAGCAGCCCCCTGTGATTTGAATAGCTCATCACTCCCCTCCTCCCTCCTATAGAGGCAGTTATTACCTAAAGGGTTGCCAGGCTCTGCTGCCAGTCAAGTAGATGCCCTAGAGGCCTTCCTGAGGGCATCTTCACATCTCCTTTCCCCTCCCCTGGGCCACCTCATGTGAGGGAAGGGGAGGCTGTGCCTGATGGGCTTCATCAGGTCCCCCCCACTCATGGTGCAGGTCTTTTGGGGCACTGCTCTTGGAGATCTTCTCACTGGGCTATATGCTCTGCCCTGGGCACCAGCCAGGAGGTGCAGGACTTCATAGCCAGAGTGGGACTGATGGCCAGCCCCTCCCAGGGGCTGTCTAGGGCCTCTGAGAGTTTGGAGTGTTGCCCAGGGAGGGGGTCCTTCACAGCCATGGTTGAGCACAAACTGCTACTTCTCCCCAGGTATCTCATCATGACCCAGTGGTGGCAGCACCGGCTTGAACTCCGCCCTAGTTTTGCCAGCATCTTGGAGCATCTTCCATACTGGACTTCAATAAGGGGCAGGCGTGTCCGTGACCTGCCCTGACCATCCTGTCTTGGGGGTCAGGAGGGAGGCCGTAAAACAACACTGGCCCACTGCTCCCTTACCCTCATGTGCTCCCAGGACCCTGATGTGCTGAATTCATCTCTGCCAATGGCGCTAGGGCCCAGGAAGAGAAAGGGCTGCTGGGCTGGGGAGCAGGTCTTTGGAGGGGCTAAGGTCCCCACAGGCCCAGGAACTGAGTCTGAAGAACTTCAAGAGCTGGAAAGGGAAGTGGCTGCCCTCTGGCCTCAAGCCCCCCAATGCCAGAGGAATCCCATCTATAGCTGCTGGGCCCCCAGCGGCCCTGAGGGAGGACATAGGCATTGGTGCTAGCAGTGGTTCCTCCCTGCATTCCTCCCAGGTTTCTAGGTGGCTTGTTATTCCAGTAGCCTCTCCCTCACACCTCCACCCGTTTGTACTGCGTGCTTGGGCCTGTCTTAAGGTTGGCCTGCACCACAGGACTTTCCATCCTGGAAACCAGACCCAGGCCTCCTGGGGAGGAGCCTGGCCACTCCCAAACTTTAAACTTTGGGACCAGAGCAGAGGCCAACCCCCTTTCCCCCCGCATGTGGGTGTCCAGTTGAAATTGCCTCCTGCAGGAAGCCTTTGCTGGACTGCCCTTCCCCTATGAGTACCCTTCACCTGGGCCGTCCACACAACCCTACAGACAACTAATAAAGAGCTTTTCTCACCCTGCCAGTGCGGCTCAGCTGGTTGGAGTGTCATCCTGATGCACCAAGGTTGCTGGTTGGATCCTGGTCAGGGCACATACAGGAAGCAACCAATGAATGGATGGGTGGAACAACAAATCTCTCAATCAATCTCTCTCTCTCTCTCTCTCTCTTTCTCTCTCTCCTTTCTCTCCTCTCTCTCTTCTCTCTCTCTCCTTCCCTCCCTTCCTCCTCCTCCTCCTCCTTCTCCTCTTCCTCCTCACCTTCTCTCAAATCAATCAATAAATTTTCTTTTTAAAAAGAACTCTTCTCATATCCTCCAGTGATCTGAATGGACCTTAGAGATGCCTGGGAACTGAGAAAGAGGGGACCAGAGGAGGGAGGAGATGAAGTCTGAGTCACCAAAGCTGGTGTCTTTGAGTTTTATTGGGGAGGGGAGTCCATTGTAGTGTGGGAAGGATAGATCAATAGATCTAGTGCCTGTGAAATAAAATCCGTTATCTCACCTCTCTGGAGAAGTGCAGAGCCCCCTCAGAATAGCTGGACTCAGGAAGAAGTCCATTGTCACAGTGTACCCCCCACCCCCTAACTTAGTGTCATCGGCTCTGGGACCGCTTGGGTTTGTATAGGGAACAGCCTTGGTGCGTGCAGTGCGTCCCACAGTGGTTGGCACGTGGCCCTACAGGACCCTATGAACCACCCCAACCTCTGGGTTTGTCTCTTCCCAGCATGCACAGCGGGGACAAAGCTGCAGGTCCATTTGTGAGACCAGCGGGTCTGTGCGGGGACAGGGGCCTAGTCCCTAGCCTCATCTCTCGGCCAGGCTGGCCAGGATGCTAATGAGATTGTCCAGCCCCAGCAAATAGCCGTCCTCGCGGTTGCCCTCCTCCCAGGGCCTCCGATGGTCCAGGGTCTGGCCGTCAGGGAGGGGCGTGGTCTTGCCGAAGTCGATGAGCCACACACCGGCGCGATGGCTGTGATCGTGTACGAAAAGCAGGGAGCTGCCGATCACCTGCCAAAACCCACAAGGTCAGACCACGGCCCTTCTGGGGAAGCCCTCACAGACCACAGACCAGGAACTTGGCCCTCCCCCCTTACCTCATGCCTCCTAAAGAACTCAGAGACCTCCAAGGTGTCCCGGATCTGCAGCAGGCGGTTCAAATACCTCCGCTGGACAGGGTAGGGTGGGAGAGGAGGGCACATTAACGAAACACTGACCGAGCTTCTGCTAACATTAGGGGTCACGACGCATGCTCTGCTTGGTAAATACCGTGGAGGAAAAACAGGCCCGCCCGTGGCGCGCAGGACAGAAGGGAAGAAACGTAAAAATTACAACACAGCCCGAGAAAAAGCGACGACAGGGGTCACATAGGCGAGGGCACTAGACTGGGTGGCCTGGGGGCGTCCCTCGGTTTCAGGCGCCCCGACAGCGCAGGTGCCAGGACGCGGCACTCACCAGCACTTCCGCATCCCCTTGCACGAAATCCTGGAAGACTCGGATCACCTGCTCCCGGCTCCGCGTGGTCTTGAAGTCTGTGCTGCAGGATCCGTCCGCTTTCTTAATTAAGGAGGTGGGACAGGAAGCGTCAGGGGCCGTACCCGCCAGAGCGGGGAGGATCATTAGAGCAGCGCTATCTCCCTGGACGCTGGAAGCCGGAGTCAGCGAGACGGCCGCCGGCGGGTGCGTATTCAGGGGGGTGGGGTGGGGGTGGGGGGCCCTGGGAGGTTTGACGCCGCGGTGTGGGTGTGCGCTGGGGTGCAGGAGCGGCGGGGCTGTGCAAAGCAAAGCGAGCCCGGCCCACCTTGATGCCCTCGATGCGGAAGCCGAGCGTGGTGCTGGAGCTGATGCCTTCCCGCCACTGCATGTAGCGGGGCTTGGTGACGGCGCGCTGCGCGTGCTCCTCCTCCGTGGGCGCCTCGGGGTCCACGGCCAGCATCTTCTTGTACATGTCCTTCCGCAGCTTGGGTCGTTCGCGGGCTTTGGTCAGCTCCTCTTCCAGGTAGGTCCTACGGAGGCGGAGGCAGCGGCCGGGCTTGAGCGGACTCACCCCAGGACCCGTCGAGCACCGC